TGACACGAGCAATCCACTAGAGTTACCTTTCGGCGCTCTGCCGGGGAAGGTACAAATCCCCTCACAATCACCGGAGATGGCCACGAACAATCACCAACTCGTGCCAATCCTCCACCGCTGCACCAGTCCATCTAGGTGGTGGCAACCACCAAGAGCAACAAGTGAATCCTGCAGCGAAACACGAATACCAAGTGCCTCTAGATGCAATCACTCAAGCAATGCACTTGGATTCTCTCCCAATCTTACAAAGATGATGAATCAATGATGGAGATGAGTGGGAGGACTTTGGCTCAGCTCACAAGGTTGCTATGTCAATGCAAATGGCCAAGAGAGTGAGCTTGAGCCGGCCATGGGGCTTAAATAGAAGCCCCCACGAAATAGAGCCGTTGTACCCCTTCACTGGGCACAACGCGGGATGACCGGACGCGCCGGTCGTATTGACCGGACGTAAGACCCCAACGTCCGGTCCTCAGATCTTCGTCACGTGTCCCCTGCTTCAAACACTGATCACCTGATCTCAATGGTCAAGTGATGACCGGACGCGTTAGTTAGAAAGTGACCGAACGCTGTTCCAAACACGAATTTTCACGACCGGACGCGTCCGGTCACTTTTAGTGCCAGCGTCCGGTCGAAGACCAAAACACGCGCCCTCTGCTGCCACTAACCAGACGCGCCGGTCCAACCGAGACCAGCGTTCGGTCACTTTCAGTGACTTTCGTCTTTTCTGTAAAGAGCGCCGGTGGCACCGTCGGACTATCCGCACTCTACAGGCGGACACTCCACCGGTGAAGTTTCTAACCCTTACTCAAATGTGCCAACCACCAAGTGTATCACCTTGTGCACATGTGTTAGCATATTTTCACAAACATTTTCAAGGGTGTTTGCACTCCACTAGATCCTAAATGCATACGCAATGAGTTAGAGCATCTAGTGGCACTTTGATAACCGCATTTCGATATGAGTTTCACCCCTCTTAATAGTACGGCTATCTTTCCTAAATGTGATCACACTCGCTAAGTGTCTCGATCACTAAAACAAAATGGCTCCTACAATTTTTACCTTTGCCTTGAGCCTTTTGTTTTTCTCTTTCTTCTTTTCCAAGTTTAAGCATTTGATCATCACCATGCCATCACCATCGTAATGATCTTCACCATTGCTTCATCACTTGGAGTAGTGCTACATATCTTATAATCACTTTGATAAACTAGGTTAGCACTTAGGGTTTTATCAATTAACCAAAACCAAACTAGAGCTTTCACCTGGCCCCTTCACCACCGCCGCCCTACGACGCCCACTAGGTACACAGCTATGGACTCCGAGTGTATGTTGCTGGCCAATATCCATTGCTCTGCTTCTTCAGTGATTGTTGACCAGAGATGTCGGGAACGAAGTCATGTTCTGGAATATGCAATTGTTTCTCTCCTTCCTGATCATCTAGGCCAAGAGCAGGACGACGCATCTTAGGCACATATTGGTGTTTAACTAGCTCAATATATTTGCTCATTTATTTATTCTAACGCTCAATTCTGCATGATTTCTAATCATCTTGCTATTTTTCTCGCAGTCGACGTCACATGGTGGCCAGCCTTGCTCCATCTTCAAGGCATTTGCTATGGCCCACAAGGGCAAGACGACGCGTCGACGTCAACTACAACCCGGAGGACGGGCCCGAGGCGTACAGCAATGCGATCGTCCACAACCACCTCAATGAGTACACATTGATGGCAAGGGAGGTCCATGGGCCAGAGTATGATCCGAGCACCGAGGACCTTGATGGAGAAGTCGTCATGAGGGTGGGAGGAGGCAAGAAGCATGGGCGGTACTGGATTGGCGACGACGCAATCGACTCGGCCGCTACTCCCAGTCTCTCCTAGATTCGAGCAAGCAGCATGAGCACGAGCCCGCCCATACGACCTCGGTAGGACACTTCACACCACCGGGTGGAGGCACTCGAGGTTATTCCTGGTTTATTCGTCGTTCATTGGTTTTTTCATACCTTTCCTTTGCATTATTGTAACATTGGGGTGAATATATTGTAGGCCCACCTGGAACAAGAGAGGAGGATACGGGAGTAGATGTAGGCGAAGATGGAGAGGGTGGAGGGCGAGCGGGAGGCCGAGCAGCGGAGGATGGCGGAGATTCTTCAGTACATGCAAAGTCTTGGCGCCGCTACGGGTGTAGTTCCGCCACCTTCGCTATTCGCTCCACTTCCACCTCCACCTCCTCACTATTCTACTCCTGTGAGTATAAATGTTTTAGTTTGTATGTTCATGCTTACGGTCAAACCTAGTGGAGTATGAAAGTTTGATTCATATATGGTATATATTTATCTTGTCTCACACATGCAATTTCTTCTCCTTTGTGTAGAATCAATCAACGGCATCGAACGATCCTCATGCTTCAGCGAATCCTTCACCAAATCAGTCTCATTGGCCATCTTGGTGATGATACTTGTGGTTGTTAATGGTACTTCTATTTGCAATTGTGGTTGTAGATGATGGAGCACTTGGATTACTTGTGAACTTATTTGTGATATATTGTGATGCATGTGACGTTTGTGATATATATGTGACATTTGTGATATATATGTGGTGTTGGTGATATATATGTGCTGTTGATGATATATATGTGATGTTGGTGATATTTGTTATATATATCTTCTGTTTGTTTGGATGAGATGTAAAAAAAAATAAAAAGATTGTATTAAGTCACTTTGCCGAGTGCAATGACCATGACACTCGACAAAGTGACTACCTGGGAACATGCTTTGCCGAGTGCAAAGGCCATTGCACTCGGTAGATATCACAGATTTGCCGAGTGCCACGGGCCATGCACTCGGCAAAGGTCGCCTGTTTGCCGAGTGTCTTGATAGGACACTCGGCAAATAGGCGACCTTTGCCGACTGTCTTGCCAGTGGCACTCGGCACAGTGGCCACCTTTGCCGATTGTCTGAGTCAACGGCGCTCGGCAAAGCGGCGACCTTTGTCGAGTGCTTGACCTTGACACTCGGCAAAGCCGCCGCCACGGTGGTGCTCGCCGTCACGGCAACTTTTCTTTGTCGAGTGTCAGATTAGCACTCGGCAAAGGCTTTGCCGAGTGCCCGATAAAGTGCACTCGGCAAAGAGGTCTTTGCCGATAAACTGTTTACCGAGCGCCCTTTGCCGGCTTTGCCGAGTGTATATCGGCCTTTGCCAAGTGCCCGGCAAAGAAGCTGAATCCAGTAGTGGTTGGCGGCGAAGGCTCGGACGGTGACCTTGGGGAGCGACTTGCTGAGGCTGATGCCGACGAGGCCATCGCCATCCTCGCGCTGCACGATGGCCGAGTGCGCGTCGGCGGCGGCGGCGACGGTGGTGCGCTCCACGACGTGGAGCTCCATCTTGGCGCACCCACGGAGCATGGGGTCGGTGGTGAGCAGCACGGCCGAGCCGCCGCAGAACGGAAGAGGCAGTGGCCCAGCATCTGGCACCGAGCGTGCTCGTCTGAGCAGCGCCCGTCCCCAGGCCAGAGCAGGCGCTCGCCTTCTCCTGCGGAGCACGTCAGCCAGCAGCCGAGCGCTCGCCAGGCTCCGAGCGGTGCTGGCCCGAGCAGCAAGGAGGCCCGCCCGTCGCTCCAGGTCTTCGAGACTGATTTGTCTCTGTGCCGTGCTTTGTTCTGCCTCTCTTTTCTCTTGTTTCTGATCGGCTGTCACCGGACGGTGCATTGTTCACCGCTCTCTCTAGGCGGTGCACCGTCCTGCTCCAGGCGATGCCCTTTGAGAGCTGTCTGGTGCCCTCTGTTTCTTGTGATCGATCTCTCTCTCTCTCTGTTCGTGTTTTTGCCTCTTTGTTCCAGCGCTGGGAGTCGGACTCAGGTCCCATAGTTCGATGCCCAGGCAGAGGAGTCCGGCTACTGGTTTTCCGTTTGCTGCTCGTCGCGATTCTTGCAGACCAGCATCAAGCGCATCAGCTCTGTGCGCTCGTCCAGCGCCGAGCAGAGCTCGTCGTGAGCCAAGGTAAATCTGTCCTTAATTTTGATTGGTAAAAAAGTTAGCTTTTTTAATCTGTCGCCGTGGACCTCGCCTGGAGCACCATGCACGCGCGGTCCTGGTCCTAGTCCATGATGCTGGGCCATTGCCACTTTCGCTGCAGCGGCTCGGCCATGCTGCTCACCACCGACCCGGCGCCCCGAGCGCGCCAAGATGGAGCTCCGCGTCGTGGAGCGCACCACCGTCGCCGCCGCCGCCGACGCGCACTCGGCCATCATGCAGCGTGAGGATGGCGACGGCCTCGTCGACATTAGCCTCAGCAAGTCACTCCCCAAGGTCACCGTCCGAGCCTTCGCCGCCAACATGACGCGCGTCTCACGCGCGCGCATGCTCCCCGTCAGGGAGCTCGCCCGGTTCGCAGCCGTCGTGGCGTGCCGAAAGCTGCTGCACCGCATCAGTGGCAGCAGCTCCGCCGGCTCCCACAGTGTCGGTTTCTAGGGGCGCCGCGCTCGATACTGCCTGCGCCCGCTCCGCTCGGCCGCGCCAGCCACGCCCATCTCGCTCGGCAGCGCCCGCTCGCGCCGACCATGCCCACCACGCGCCGCCACGATGCACGTTTGCGCCACCTCCCTCGCGTCGCCGTCGCGCTGGAGGTCTGCTCATGCGCTGGATAGCATCTTCGTTATTGAAACGTGCGGCTCACGTGCTTCGTCCGCCACGCTGGCGCTGCCACGTCGTCTGGAGACCGCGCCGGATGGGAAATGAGTCTGTGTGGTGAACAACTTGACAAGTTCAGGGACCCATTTTCCGCGTTTGCAAATTCGTGGAGCGAACTAGCATAGGCCGACAAGTTAAAGGGCCGCCAGTGTATTTCACTCTTTTTATTTTTTATTTTTTATCGAACTTCACAGTGGAGGTTTGTGGAACGGAGGAAACGGAGTTTTAATGAAACAGAGCAGTAAAAGACGATGGAACAACATAACTCTGCATCTCAAATTTTCTCGTATCACCCGCCTTCAGTCCACGCACACTAACCATGGCAATGACACTGTCGCTATGCTGCCTCCTCCTCGTCCTCGCCGGTGACGGCAGGGGCGAGGTCGCCGCGTTTCAGCTGGAGGAGGCCACCATCGAATCGATCCATCGCGCCTTCGCGACCGGGGAGCTTACCTCCCGCGGTCTCGTCGAGCTCTACCTGCGCCGCATCGCGTCCCTCGATCCCACTCTCCACGCCATCATCGAGCTCGACCCGGATGGCGCGCTCGCCGCCGCCGACCGTGCCGACGCCGCCGCCCGGTCTAGCTCCGGCGAGCTCCCGCCGCTGCACGGCGTCCCCGTGCTGCTCAAGGACAACATCGCCGCGGCCGGGCCAGGGCAGGGTCTGTCCCTGTCCCCTCCTTTTCCTCGGTTTCTTGGATACTCACATAGCATAGCAAATTGGTTTTCTTGCAGCCCCAAGAACCATTGCTGCAGTGCTACGTCGATTGATTTTGGATTGCTGATGCAGAACCCGTACGTGCCGTCGGCGACGACGTGCGCCTCCAGCAGCGGCTCAGCGATTGCGGCGGCAGCGAACATGGCAGCAGTGACGATTGGGACCGAAACGGATGGCTCCATCATGTGTCCTTCCAGCTACAACTCCGTCGTCGGGATCAAGCCCACCGTGGGTCTCACCAGCCGCGCCGGCGTCATCATCATTTCACAAAGGATGGACACAATTGGGTGAGTTAGAGTGACCTGTTCAACTGATTTTGATGCATACCTACCTACATTTTAAGCAAGTATGTTGTTTCTCATACACTTGACAATGCTGCCGAATTTCTCATCACCAGATCGAGGCATGTTTTTACCTACTTGTGTCAAGGGATTTTCGTTGTTTATTTTCTTTCAGATTTTCCCCTTAAATATATGTGTCACTATCTGGATTTACCACTGACCACACCAAGCCTTTTTCTTAAATTGTTGGTGATGCAGCCCTATCACTAGGACAGTTTCAGATGCTGTGCATGTGTTGGAAGCAATTGTTGGTTATGACCCTCGAGATGCGGAGGCAACTCGCATGGCTTCACAATATATACCAGAAGGTGGATACAGGCAATTCTTGACCATAGATGGACTAAGAGGGAAGAGGTTGGGAATTCTTAGGAAGGATTTCTTCCGTTTTCCCTCTGGTTCTGTCCAAGAACAGGTGTTCAGTGATCATTTTAAAATTATGAGGTACTTTGCCACAACATCTTGATCCTATATAGTTATCATATGTTTATTATTGTTTTCTGGAACAATGCTCTTGATTCAACCTGAAAAAGGAAACGATTTTCTTACCAGTGCTAACAATAATGGTCTTGTTTAAATGTACATTAATGCACTTGAAATATGCATTGTGATCTAGTGAAAAAAATTCTAGACCACAAGGCTGCATCCAATTCAGGGTTCCGATTAGCAAAACTTCTGCCCTGAGATTAGGTCAACCATCCTTTGGCGACACTTTCTTCAGTATATTGAGTAATTGTATAAATGATGTTTGAGTAAAGGTGAGTTAGCAATAGGAAAACAGAATACAGTGGTTTGGTCTGTTGTGTTAGCTTATTTCAGCTTCTTATTGGATTAATGGGATCCAGGGTTCAGACTATTATTAAGACTTTGTTTATCTGGAATTGTTCAATTAATGAATTACTTGAAGGAGAAATTAAGTATTTATTCATTGCTATTGATGATCCTTTACTATCATATAGGAGCTTTTGCTTACCTTGAATGATGTGACAAAACTGACAGTAAAATGGGTGCCATCTTGGTAGACAACCTTGAGATACCAAGCATGAATGTCATTAATGATGCAATGCAAAGTGGTGAGCGTGCTCTTATGCTTGCTGAATTCAAGCTGTCACTCAACTCCTACTTATCTGAGCTGGCCACTTCACCTGTTAGATCATTATCAGACATAATTGAGTTCAACAAGAAGCACCCCGTTGAGGTAAATATTGGTCACAGGAAGGATTTCATTTTCATACATAATTATCATGCGCATCTAATTTTCTATGTACTTTCGTTCAACATAAACATACAATTATTGTATTATTGGTCACAGGAAAGGATGGCTGAATTTGGACAAGATTACCTTCTACAATCTGAAGCAACCAATGGCATTGGTCCAATTGAGGACCATGCCATTTTGAAACTGAACAAACTATGCAAAAGAGGCCTTGAGAAAATAATGCAAGATAACCAATTGGATGCAATTGTAGCCCCAGGTGCATCTGCTCACAGCCTGCTTGCCATTGGCGGTTATCTGGCAATAACTGTTCCTGCTGGGTATGCTGCAAATGGCGTCCCTTTTGCCATCTGCTTCGGAGGGTTGAAAGGATCAGAGCCGAAGCTTATTGAGATATCATATTCATTTGAGCAGGCAACGAAAGTAAGGAAACCTCCGTCACTGCAGCATTCTGTCATTTGAATGTAACTACGGAGATGAATGATGCCAATTTGGCAGTATTTTTGTTTAACTTTGAGAAAACATTTATTTAGGGAAACACGCATGTATTGAATGCTAAAACACTTGTGATGCAGTACCTTTAACCAAACTATTTGAACTCAAGCATTTTGTACCTTGATCGTTCTTGGCATGTACTTTACAATTTATGAAATACAGTCTTTTCGGGAAACAAGTAGAGCAAAAGAAAGATGGATTCAAAGTGTCCTATATCCTGAAATCTGCATGAATAGCAATCTGGGCGTCAAGGATACCCAGTCTAGCGGAAGGGCCTTCGGCTAAGTTGGTTACGTGGTCTGAGTAGCACTACTTAGATCCTGGTTCAACTCCTCGTGGGAGTGAATTTCACACTAGGGTTAAAAAATCTCCCTCGTTTGTCCCAACAGGTCTAGGGCTATCCCCAATTGTTCTCATATGGGTTACGATGCCACTATGTATGAGTGAAACAAGGGTTTGGGGGTTTCTCAACCTGCGTTAGAAGGTCTTCTTAATGCAATGGTCTTCTTCTGAATGCAATACCTGGGGCTGTCTTATTCCCCATAGGTGGAGTTTTCTCTCTCTTTTTTAATACCCAGGCTGAATGGGTTTTTCTTTATTAGGTATGCATCTGATGTTTGTGATAAAGGACAAGATGGAGTATTACTGCAACGTAACGCTATATCAAGTGATCAAAATATTAGTTTCACAGCCATTCTCATTAAGAAATTTATAAATTTACCTCGATCAGTCTCTGGTTCCATGACAAGCAAGATACTGTCATTATCACATCTTATTCTTCTACTTGTTTATTCATTCAACATGTTTTAGAGCCATTTGTGATGTCCAGTCACTATTCAGTTTGAGAACTCAAACAGCATAGTGTGCTTATACTTCTCACCAGGCCGAACAACTACAGAGGGAAAATTAGGTTGGTTGATGGCATTAGGGAACCCCTGGGTTTCCAAGCATACTCCTGCATGCTTCTCATAGACAGCACCCCCTTTGCCACTGATGCCATTCACATAGTTGGCGGTGTAGAACTGCATGCCAGGTGCATCAGTCCAGAGGTCTAGGGTCCGCAAGCTTGATGGATCTCTCAGCTTGGCCGCATGCTTCAGGCCATTCTTCTCATCGCCACAGTCCAGCATGTAGTTATGATCATACCCTCCAGGAACATCATTGATGTGCTCTCCAATCTTGTGCTCTGTTGTGAAATCAAAAGGAGTGCCATTGACAGGCATTATCTCACCAGTGGGAATTGTATTTTCATCAACTGGAGTGATGTGCTTCCCCCATATCTGTATTGAATGATTTAAGATGTCACCAGAGGCATGGCCTGCAAGGTTCCAATAGGTGTGCTGCGCCAGGCTTATAGGAGTTGCTTTGTTTTCTGGTGTAGCTTCCATGTCAAGTCTTAGAGTAGTAGCTTCAGGAAGTGAGTATGTTGCCCGAATGGTTACATCCCCTGGATAGCCTGAGGGATGTTGAATTCGCTGAGTTATTTATGGTTAGGCATGGAACCTACAATCAAAACAACAATATACCTTCTTCACCATCCTTGCTGTGATACTGAAAAGTTATTGATGGGCATTCACCATCCTTGTGCTCTACGACATCCCACACAACCTTATCAAATCCCTTCAACCCACCTGGCATTCACAATTGAGCGACACAATGAAAAGTTATAGGTATATCACATAAAAACAAACCACAATGCAAACATTAATGAAGAGCACTGAAGACTTGAAGGTGGTTTTATTCTTTTTCTCCAGACACATCAATTGAAGAATTGACCATAGAACTCGTTCATCTAGTCATTTACAAATGATGGGTGTTTAAATTTTCTACAAAGAGTGCTGATGATAAAGATATGCATGCAAACAATGAACTTGTAACATATAGACAATGGTGTTCCATTAAAATCAGTCACTGATCTAATAAAGTCACACACTGTGACTGAAAGCATACCATGAAGGCTGTTAGGAACGTTGTTGACAGGCAATGAATACTCAACTTCGTTTAGTCTAAACTTCCCATCCTTGATCCTATTCGCAACTCGGCCAACTATGCAGCCAAAATAAGGTGACATGCCTTTCTGCAAAAAAAAAAAAAAAAAAAAAAAAAAAAAAAAGTAGAAAACAAAACTATCAACATTAGTCATTTGAGTACCATTTGAAGTTCAATCCATTATACATGAAAATTTAACATAACATATTATTCAGTAAATATCTCAAAGATTACCATTATTTGATTTTGGGTTATGGAATGATACTCAGCTGTGGTTTACAGAGTACAGACACAGCTGTAGATCTGTTTCGAATCAATAGACATGAACTGAACAAGTTATGTCCAGACACCTTTGGATGGAGCATCTTTAGGGGCGGTAAGAAACCCAAATATCTTTCAGGTTGCTTTGGTAACAAAGACCAAAACCATTGAGGTTGTTAACAAACACCAAAACTAAGAACAGATACATACAGATCTGCAATTTATTTATTTAAGGTGTGATTCGTTGCTTCAATTAGCATTAGACCTTATGAATCACAGGAAAATATTCAGGGCAAACTAAACTTCAGTAGAATCATGAAAACCCCTTAGAAAAACATACTTAAGAGTTTCCAAAAAAAATTGAAATGTTGTTCATCCATAGTTCATCTATAGATTTACATCTCTACAAAAATTGAGATTCAAACTCTTGTTTAAAAATTCATACAAAAACAATAAATTTCAGGTGCATATTCACTCGAAAGACAAATTCCTAGGAATTTTATCTTAAAGTACATATGCATATGAAATTTATTATTTTCTTATGAATTTTTCTAGATTTAGTCTAGATCCCAAATTTCGCGACAATGTCCATCTACAGATGCTCTATAGATGTGCATCGTTTCAATATTTTTGAAAATTCCCAAATATGTTTTTCTAGGGGTTTTCACGATTCCACCAAAGATGAGGTTTGCACCAAATATTTTCCCATATAACACAATCCAAGCCAACATAAACATATGCAATGTCTTAGTGTTTTGGTTGTTTACATTGCTCGTATTAGGCTGCATGTAGTCACCTCCATGTGCTAGTAGATAACTTATGTTCTAGAAGAGGTGGGGGAGGTAAGGAGATTCCATTTTTGTGTGCACCTTCAGCTTATCCAAATCTGCATTATCTAATATGACCAAATCTAACATACTCGGTAATGCAGCATTAGACCTGCTTTGAGCATTGTGTAAGCAGTGACGAAGCTAGAGCAAATTGGAGACTAGGAGAGGGGTGCGCTTGCCTTGTGGGTGCATAAACGTATGTCATAGGGGATGCATATATGGTGAATTTTAGTCCTAATCACCGTTTTTTATTTTTTTGTGGGGGTGCATTTGCGCCCCCTAATCACTAAGGAGCTCCGCCCATGTGTGTAAGCCTGCATAAGAAGCTCTGCAGGCAACCAAATATGTGTAAAGCTGCACTGCATTAGCCTGGATATAGGCTAATCCAGCCAACCAAACAGGCCCGAACTAACTAAAACACGGTCACAGCTTTTTTTCTGGAGGAAATTCCTTCAGTTTCAAAGGCGAACTTGGTTAATTTCCCATCTTTGAGGACTGTAACGATGTGGAATTCCTAGTCTGGATAGCCACCTAAGGTGTCGCAGGAAGCTACCAATTTTCCATTGGAAGAGTTATCCCTTGTCATTGCATCTGAAGCTGTACTAAAAAATATTTTTGGGACCAATTTGCAGCAATATCAGAGAAGCTGATAAAGTTCCAATTGTCCTTACTAGGCTTCTAAATACAAATCACAAATTGCATCAATTTAAGTCAGGGAACATCGGCGCAACTCACTCAGGAGTCAAAAGTCAAAGGACACGACACCTGACGAGCAAACCAAGATTAGAGTAGAGAATGAAGAGGATTATTCGAGGGGGTCTCTCACCACGTACGGGTCCAGGTCATCGAATCCGAGCACCACATCCGCGATACTCCCTGCGCCGATTTTAGCCAACAGGATGGGTTACCGGGGAATCGAAGAACCCAGAGGACGCGAAACAAAGAGAAAAGCGAGCGATGCGGACCCTGGGCGTCGGGGACGAGGAGGGAGGTGATGGTGGCGCCCCAGTTCGAGATCCTCGCGCTAATCTTGCCGTTGGATAGCTCTAGGATCTTGGGCTCGGCCGCCATTATTGACGCCCGTTAGGGAGAGATTCGGCTCTAAGCTCGATTCGCTTTGCTTGCCGGATTACAGTGCTACAGTAGTTAAAGTGCTTTCTGTTGTGCTGCCGCTTCGATCCGTGGGCCTTCCCTCTGTCTAATCCAAAAGCACACACTTCGAGGGAAAAAAATTACTCTCTCCGTCGGAAAAAAAAATGTAAATCTTGTTTGCCAACAAATAAAAGATTCATAGTCTGACCAATGTATACAACAGAATATCAGTATTAATGATGCGTAATAAGTATTATTAGACAAATTATGATAATATCTTCTATAAAATTAGTTAAACAAATGAGATTTACATTATTCGACAAGTAGAGTATATGCGACGGTGCCACACAGCATCGGACGTGCGACACCGCCCGCACGTATGACGCGTGTCCTTGGCCCACCACGCGCCGATACTCTAGCCGGCTCCATCGCTTCCCTCCGAAACCGGATGTGCGAGTCGCTGTTTCGTCTGCCTGGTGGTGCTATACGACACGAGTGCATAGAATTTTTTTTCAACTTCCAGGTTTTATGAATTATGAGCCCTACTAGACGTGGGACCTGGACGGCGAATCAATATATTTCTAGGAAAAAAGTAATTATTGAATTGTCCGAAATAACATTCTCTAAATCTAGATTTAAATGATGATTTTTTTATTTAAATAGATGGTGATTTAGTTATTCGTACCTATAAGTAAGAGAAGTCTATTCAAGTGATTACAATAAAAAAAAGATATGCATATTTCTAAGAAAAATAGTTTAAAATATTCATAACTATATATTATTGTCATTTTTTAT